TTGTGTAGATTTATAAATATAACCAATCAGTTACCTGTGTAGATGATCGTTGCAGTTTAATGAGTTATGTAGTCTGGAGAGTTTACTATACATAAACATTGCGCCCGTGCGTGGGAAGCAGTGGAGCTAGTTTTATAATTTACATCTGTATAGAATATTTAATCACAATAACATACAATGATTTAGTTTTAAGCATTCTTTGAGTAGATAACCCTTTTATTTTACTTAAGTTTATTATCACTTAAGAAAATTATCTCACGATTTCTACAATGTATAAAATTTAACAAAGGTATTTAATTTTTTTAATCAAGTTATACGATGTAATTTAAAATTTTGTTGAAATGATCTAGAGCAAAGATTGTATTTAAATTTCATAATAATTTTTAAACCGTTAATATCGGTGCCGTAAATGTCATCGATTTAATAATCGTGTAAAAGTTTACACAGCTAACAGGTTTGTTGATTTACAAAGATTGAAGTTTTTAGTTGAGAGTGTATGTAATAAACTTCGAGTCATCATCAGCCCTTTTACGTCCCCACTGCAAGGTCTCAGGCCTTCCTTATGGATGGTTAAGGAGGATGGGCCATGACCCTCCACGCTGGCCCAATGCGGATTGGACTTATTACGAGACTTCGAGTAGTCTCGTAATATAAAAAAAGAGTGACTATTCGTTAAGAATTAACTTTAAAATAATTAATATGATTTAATGATATGTCAATAGGTATTTCGTAACTTAAACACAACATTAAGAATGTGTTGGACTAAAATGGATAAGGATATTTATACAGATGTCACAAAAACTACCATACGGTGACTAATAATAGGTAAAAAAGTCACTCAAAATTAAAGACTTTCGAAATGTACTTTTGAAAATATGTAATAACGATGGAGCAAATTGCCTCACAGTCGCATCATGCCATAAAGTTTCGAGTAAATCAATTACGTAATGCACGACTTTCCACAAGCTAAATAACTTCGCATTTGCAGGGGTTTTATCAAAGGAAGGCGGTTGCGATATCGGCAAAAATCAAGCTAGCATCAACCCCGGCATTAACCCTGCTAATTTATTATTTAATCTGGATCTCCTAACATAGGTATCAATACAAATACCATGTCTAGAAATTACCATATTAATAGCAGGCATGATTGATTAATTTTACTTAACCATTCTATTTATGATATCTAAATTTTATTGATTAATAAAAAAACATAGGCGACATTATAAACAGGAAAAAAAAAGTTTTTTAAATTTTAGGGATACCATTATACTATGAGTTGATATAGGTATTAATAAAAAAAAAAACTTAACAATATTTTTTTTAAAGTTCCACCTTATAGGTTTAATAAGCAAAAGGAATAATAACGAATACAGAAATACATTATTCAACATTTAGCAAACACTCGTAAAGAAAATAGATATTCCCGTAGTGAATATGATTTATTTCTGTTTGGATTTTCATTGACTTAGTAATATAACAATGGAAACTGTTGGAATACCATTTAGTTTTTTGTATCCCTAAATAACACTCATAAGAAAAGAAAACAATAATTATTTGCTGCGTCAATTAGATTAATGTCGCGGTCTTTATAATAGTCTTATGATTAAGGACGTAAATAAAGAAGTCATTTTGGAGGATTGATATTCCTCTCACCTATTATTGAATTATTAAAAATAGACGTAAATAATTACTTTGAAAAGATTAAATCCATGTAGTCATAAATACTTTGCATTTCAAATCAATCTTATAACATGGTCCAGTTAATCCCCAAAAATATAGAACAATATAAACAGATGTGTTAATATTCTAAACGTATGTCACTACCGTGATTTATTGATTCATAATAATACCCAAATACTGTCTGAATAAATCTTATCTCATATAAAAAATATTAAGACCAAATCCGTGAGATTTACAAAGCTTTGATAAGTATTACAAGTGGGTGCTTGATAATGTGGTTCTCGAAGTTCAAGACACTTGACTTGGGCGTTGAAAATCTGAGTGGTGTAATAAAATCCGAAAAGTATCCAAGAGGTAATAGAAACGAAACGTAGCGGTTTAAACTTGGGGCAGGTAAGTATTTATGACTAACACCGTGTTCGGAGCGTAGCGCATTCCCAATGGAAATGTTGTAGAGATGTCTGTTGCAAACCGTTTAGGTAAATCGCCTCGATGTAGAGTATTGTTTCGTAGGTATTTCAATTTGATATGCTGCCTTCATGGAAACACTATACACTAAAAGATGGGTATAGAATTTAATTAATGGAATCGATATACCTATTTGAAAATCACATTCAAAAAATATATCTAAGATACAATTTAAGTTTAGATAAATTTGAAACTTTAATGAAAACGGATATCAAATCTTACTATTACCAGTGTCCAGTGTTCGTATTCGTTGTAGCGCACTTTCAATGGTTAAATATCAATTATTACAATATGTTTTTGATTTGTAAGAGGTCAGGATGGTTGTAAACTTATTACATAACTATTATTAATACATTTCAACTAGGAAAAAAAATCCGATGTACTAATTCAATACTGTTACCGTAAAAAAACACGATAATAAAGTGGTGTCTCACACTGTGATTACGATATCGCAAATCCACCCTTTCAACAAGATAAAAATACCCTTAACAGAAAATGGATGCCGAGTTCACCCTCTGGCAAAATCCGATGTCTACAATATTTCACGCCAGCTAACTTCATGCCATATCCAATCTTTTTCGGCCGCTTATCAGGTAGACGACGGGCTTTGTCAAACTTTTCAAATTAGTCTTGAATATGCTTCATGTTTTATTGTTAATAAAGTTAAGGTGTTTTTTACATTACGTAAAGTTTGTTCGGTATCAAACTAAAGTGATTTAATGTTTTTTTACAAAATGTTCTTGTCCTGACAACTCTTCGAAAGTTTAAGTAACTAATGTACAAAACTATTTTTAATCGGCAATTCGTCAAATTGGATTAAAAAAAACACAGCCATAGGACATAGACAAGTGTACCGTGGGAAACTAGTACTGCAAATAAAATACTTTTCATAGCTCTGCGGGTGTTAAATGATGGGGTCACGCTTCACTGTATTTAAATGTTGTTCTCATTTTACGGTTTAAGGTGACAAATCAAGGCGACAAAAACACGAAGTGAGTGCCGCTGGGTGCAGTGTTATGAATAATAATTAAATATCCAGGGATCACACTGTAGATATTTATATCAATTTCGATTCAAGGTAATGTTAGTCACGTTTAGTTGATGTACATACGTAGGAACATTTGGTTCCAAACTCGGAACATGTAGGTATAAAATCAGTGACTTAATAGGATATTACAAAATATGTATAATGTAAGCTATTTTAAAAACAAACGGTACGTTTCTAATCTTTCTTGAAGCAGACATTACTTTTGAAGGACAAGAAGAAACAATAGGTGGTTTAAATTTAAATATGTTTTCCATGTTTTATGCAGTTTTTGCGGCTACATAACACTATCCGATTTCATTGATACTAATCGTATGAGTACTTAGTTAAGACTATTTGCCAAATTGAATGCAAGAAATAAAATAATCCACACACATAAACATACTGACAAATAAAACTCAAGTCCCATATTAGTGGTGTTGTGTTATTCGAAAAGCAAAGGTCGACTTTTCGGTTTCGTTCGCAAAGTTACTGATTCCAAATATTCGTCATCGTTATAATGAAAGATATATTAGGTAATTGGAAAAATGCACATAATTATTTGAAAAGCCATAAACCATAACGTACTATTATTTTGTTGTTAAACCTCATAAACAGGAAGGCGCATGTTGATACACGTATTTTAACTTATCGAAATAGTTATTTATAAATAGCATTAAGCAATTACGATTCTAATATCATATTGATGTAAAATTAACATCTTATAAAGTCAGATGAGAGTCTAGGACAATGCAATCGTCTAAAATCAAAAATTCTATATCTATGTTACATTCTATCGTGAAAATAACAGGACGTGGAATGGTTTGCTGTCGACATAGGCAAAGAAAAAACAAGTAGGTATTATTCTACAAATTAAAATTTGGTCATTGTAAGTAGAAATTGCATAAGCTTTGCAGGCTGCGTGTTATGAATTAAATAGGAGCAAAGGAACCTGTTTGGGTTCATAATATACGCGGTCGCCGCACCAAAGACTCAAACGGCCTGCCTGTCGCTATAAGTTAAAACGATACCGCAGAGCGCAGTTTTATTGTGCACAATGTGCACATACGAGACTTCAACGTACACAACATATTGCCATTTGAGGACGACGCAATAAATGAGCACAAACGAGCGAAAGCCACTTAGACCAAATTTACACTTTGCGGGAGACCGCGGCTGCAGTCGCAGAGAGTGGCGAGGCCCGCGGGCGCGCCTGTCAGCTGCTCACTACATAATACCTACCTATCTATACAAACATAGGTACAATACGTATTAACAATATGTTGGTAGGTACCGCATAACATACCCACTGTATTAGAAATCTATATTTTGCTACTCTCTAAAACTACTTTCACTAATTCTAGGATAATAATTACACAAACAGTGACTTTTAAATTCATTTACACTGGGTTCGTTCGATGGGTCAATGCACTTCTGAGGCGACGTCCAAAGCGATTACAGAGTGCCGTTTAAGAATTGAACATAATGAGAAATTAACATTGAGTTTATAGGAAAAGTTAGGATATGCACATAATTAAGAATTTTATTGCCAATTACACAAATAGGTTATGAATAATGTATAAATAATATACTTAAAGGGACTCGCGAAAATGAATAACAAAATTGAATAGATACTTATTGGATGTTGAATATTAATTTAAATAAGTTTGATATGTCCGAATGATACGACATTTATTACCAAAATTGTAATTCATTTGTAAACAAGGTTGGTTAATAGATTATAGGGTTACTAATTTTTACATCGAACTTTACATTGTATTGGTTGTGCTACTCAAATATGGTAAACAGAAAAGCTTTTTGCACCCACCTCTAGATCTTCATAGGTGCGAAATGCCATTATGGCGAATCCATCAATGATATCCTCTTCCCCCAGCGGCTCCCGCGACTTCTTTCTCCTGGCTGGAGGACGAGGAGGCTTCTCTCTAGCCGGAGACTCGTCCTCGCCGCTGTCCCCATCCTTAACTTTGCTCTCTCGCTGTGCTTGCATGCGCTGGGCCCGCTCCCTTCGCCTGTTTCTCTGATTGCGCTGCTTCACTTCGTTTTCCATCGTTTGCACATTATTCGAATCACCCGACCACCGTGCTTCACTACACTAAAGTCCGCACTACACTTATATCACACATGGTTATCCGTTGTATCTATTCCGTGTTATTGGATAAAATACAAATCTTGCACTCAGAAAAAGACACTAGCCGTTTCCAATGGCGGATCGTACACCGTTGCCGCATTGCAAGTAAAATGGCCGCGTAGCACCCGATGGGCTGTCTTCTTTCACATTCACGTAAATGGAGGCATAATTACACTTAAACTAAGACATATTACAATATATTTCAACAAGAACTAAGGCAATAATACGTTAAATTAACTTTATACATTATTCTCTGTGTTCTGAATCAGTCAATAGTCAATACAATGAAAGGTGTTTCACGACGCTAGCGCTACGCTGCGGTCGCGATGGTGAACTAAGTCAGTACTACCAACATAACAAATTTCACATTCCGCGATATTGGGCGTCATTGGCAATGTGGCGTTGCTTTACTGTTCTAACAAATATCGTTGTCTCATTCTACACCATATTATTTATTTCATCGAAATTTATACAAACGTGAGGACCAAAAATAGTTATTTATGTACTATTAGAAAGCTTTTTACAATTTAAATAAACATAATTATTGGTACAAGAGAGAAATTATTGTTGAATTATTGGTTAAGTATTCTAATTAGTTAGAATGTTTGTGTTGGTATTACATTACTGTGTACATTTTATTTGTGTCGTAGTGTTTTCCAACTATAGACACTCGTTCTTCGTCATACTGTATTACCATTATGTTAAGGTATACACAGTGACTACCATAACTTTGGTCTGAGATTTGTAGTGATGTGAAGTTTGAACGTGTCGATTTGACATTTTGTCTTTCGATGCGTTCATAACTGTATTAAATTAAAAGATGCATTCCATTAAGTATTTCATTTTGTATAATGAAGTGTTCTTTTTCGTATGCCTTTTTTTTCTAATAATTCATCTAAAATAATTGTTTATTAGCAGTTAATCATACCTTTTTCCATTATGTACGAGTATATGTATTAAATTGCCTATTTAATATTTCTTTTGGAAAATGAATAGATTTATTATATTTTTTTAATTATGCATCCAAAATAATCGAAAATAATAATGCTAAGATCTAATTTAATTAGACAATGTATTCAATATTACAATGATAGTTTATGATAATTTAACTTTTTTGCCTGCGCGCTATGCGTGATTGCTTTTGCGGTTTTCGCAGTTTGTACCGGTACGGGTTATGGTAAAAGCCGCAAAAGATGCGGGTGCAGGATGTTACTATTTTCTTAACCCCTTAAAAGAAAATCTTTCGGTTCCGTACTTCACAAGGCAAAAATGAAACTCTGAAAGGATCACTTTGTTGATCGTCTGTCTGCCAAGAACTTAATTTCAGGAAGGCGTAAAGATATCGAGTTCAAAATAAGAAGTAATTAAAAAAAACATTAGTTCCCGAAATCAAACAAGATGTCGCTACGGTACGTTCTTGATTTCTCCATAACAACCCTTCCGGTTTTCTTTCACGTTTAAAAGTATATTAGTTTTCAAAACTCAATAAACAACTTATATTCTATTTTTACTTATTTGTGTTTGTATTGATATCTAAGGTTTGAATTTTTCAAATTTAATTTTTTTAATATGTTAGTTAAAAGAAACGGAAATGACTGTCTTTGGTCCATTCGTTTCCTGCAAAAATCAACTTTTAGAGTCGCCATCTAGTGAAGGTGCTTTTTTAGTGTTTCTTTTTTTTAAATATTTCCTCATTGAAAAACCATTTCTTTGGGTCTACAGCCCTTGAAGCTGTTAAATAATGAAATTTCTAAATGAACATAAAAAATATGGCCATACGCATATTATCAAACAAAAATCTAGAATCTTAGTTTGTGATTAAATACTAAGAAAATAATCTTATAGGGGGTCGAAATTTAAAATTTAAGCCGCTACATCAAGTGATGTATCGAAAAAGCTTGTTGCGCACATATTTTTTTTATGATGCCTAAATTCTTATTTATATTAGTATAAAATTGCCGTTTTTATTATTTAATGTTAATGCGAAACGTTCTACACGAGAATCCGATTGACTCTTGACTAGTTTTTATTAACTTATTTAGTAACAACTACATTTCGACTTATGCCTGTTTACTTTTATAATTTTAAGTTTGTTGCATCATTATCAGGTAGCTTTTTAACAAATATCTGTGCCGTGATAATGATGTACAGTCAACAGCAAGTCAGGCTATACAAAACTGCCAAATTTCTCCACTTGATTTTTATCCGTTTTTTGTTTTCTTTATTTTTTCGATTTAAATTTTGAATGAAATTAAAAATAATGAGTCTTCACTAAATAAGAGGTCTTTTTTGACACATGTCATTGGACCGTAAATAGTGACGTAACAAACAAATTCGAGTACACTCTAAATACTCTAGTTACTCGATTAATGATTATAATGTGAAATATTGATTACTTTGTGTGTCGTGCATGATTTTTTAACCTTTATAAATACTTTTAACCTTCGAAATATGAATAACATTAAAAACAAGATTATTCGAAAAGATTCAATGCAAATCCTTATCTTTTTGCACTATTTAACATTACAAACGCAAGATCTGGAACAAACACGATTTCCAGTAGTGAAAACAAACAAAAATATGCAAAACATTTTAAAAATAATACTATTGTGGAATATTATATCTATATGTTTTCAACTCAACCTAATGATATTAATTTTGCCGATATTTCTGCCAATGAGGAAGTATTAAAAAAAAAGAAAATACTAAAAAAGCACCTCACTAGATGGCGACTCAAGTAAAAGTTGATTTTCGCAGGAAACTAATGGACCAAAGATGGTCATTTCCGTTCCTTTTAACTAACATATTAAAAAAGTTAAAATTGATAAGTTTGAAACTTATATACAAATATAAATAATAGTTATCTCAAAAGCGACTTATTCAAGAAAATGCTTGAATAAGTCGCTTTTGAGATAAGTATATAATAAGATACTATACAATATATATAATAAGTTATATAATAAGATAACTTATAAGAAGCTTTTTTAATAAGTAAGCTTTATTTAATAGTAGATTTAAGGTGCATGATATCTAATTGTTGTATTATGCTTTGGACTTTATTGCAGAAGCGCACAGAAAGACATCTGAATGAATTATTAACTTCTTGCAGTCTACTGACAGGCACGTTATTTTTTTTTCTAGTATTAAAATTGTGTACATCACTTTTTATATAAAACAATCAAATATTTTTACGAACGTACATTAAGTTCTTGTATATGTATTGAGAAGCAACAGTTATTATGTCTATTTCTTTAAAATTTCCTTTAAAGAGTTCCTAATCCTAAGATTATAAATTAATATAATAGCTCTTTTCTGAAGCAAAAAAATCATTCGGCAGCATTTCCCCATAACAAGATTCCGTACGACATTACACTATGAAAGTAACTGAAGTATACTAATTTGACAGTATCTATATGAGTTAACCTACGTATCTTCATTATGGCACATGCTGCAGAGCTAAGTCTATTCGATTATTTTATCAATATGTGGGCCCCACTGAAGTTTAGAATCTAGTATTATCCCTAAAAATACTGTGCTATCCACAAGGCCCATGTTCTTATCTTTTACATTCACATCTATATTTAACATTAGGCAATATAAATTTTAGGCGTTTTTTTTCCTTCGTTAAGAAGAAGTTTTTTGTTTAATTATTTAAACCAATGTACTACTTTAGTGATATAATTGTTCACATCGTAATTGAGTGGTAATCCTCCTTTAATTTTAAACAAAAGTTAAATGTCATCTGCAATCAATACTATTTCGTGATTATCCCTTTAGAAATAAGACAAGTTATTTATGTAAATTTAAAACAAGAAAGGACCAAGTATTGAGCCCAGTAGAACACCGATCTTAACTTTCGCTCCAGGGCATCTTTTGCCAGTGGAACTCTCTGCACTCTTACAGTCAAATAAGAGACTATAACATTTAATGAGTTTTCTCTAAATCCATAATAATGAAGTTCCCTAATAAATTTTACATGAAAAATACAATCAAATTAGCCTTAGATAGGTCACAGAAAACACCTTCCGCGTCATGTGAATCTTCCCTGACATCAAAAATTTTTTGTTAATACAAGAAACTTTACAAAGGAGTCGAGTTAAAACCAAATTGTTGTAATTCATAAGGTTATTCTTGTAAAAGCATGTTTGCATTTGATCAAGCATGATTTTTCAAAAATCTTACTAATTGTTGGTAGCGTAATCGATTACGTATAATCTTACGGTCTATCTATCTTCTTTTTGAAGTGTCAAAAGGGACCTCTTATTTTGGGTATGTTCCGATGTACACTGCGAGCACTGCGCAGTGGTCTTACTGCTGAAAAATCCGTTCCGTTATGGACTGCCAGTACACTGCTACAGTACCCTAGGGAAATTTATGACGTCATAAATTGCCGCCATATTTGTACTGTGAGCACTGGAGATTTCGAGGTAAGGTGCTCGCAGTGCTTTTGATCACGTCGAAACAGAATCAGAAAATGATAAGTTTCTAAATAAACAAAAAAAAATACTTACGTTTATTTATAAGATGGATTTAATTGATAAATATTTTTTTTATACATTTTTCCAATTTTCTTTTGAAAAGAGGGAATCTTTATATTTATATTCACCTTGAATTAACAAATTTGAAAATGGCGCCAAAAAATAGGATTAACAGTATACTGGACTGCGTTCCGTTTTAAAAAGTCACCAGTATAACTAGCTATAAAGGAACGGGCTTCCAGTATACCAAATTGACGTCATACTGTTCAGTGGTCGCAGTGTATATTGGAACATACCCTTTGTGAATACTATAATTTTTACTACAAAAGGTTAGTAATTTTTAATATATTACGTGGATATTATTAAAATTATTATTTTTTAGTTAATGCAAAATAAAATGCTTTTTTCATGTATTCATTTATTTATTACTATTGATTTTAA